CTCTTTGTGGGGGGTGAGGATGTATGGGGTGCATAGGCACCTCTGCCAAAATCTTGATCTAAGGTGCATGATGCAAGTGTACTGGAAGTAGAGTGCTGATAGGGACACACATCTCAAAGAACCCTTATTTACTGCACAATGTGGGTAAACTCATTGTCTCCTAAGCAATAAAACTTTCACTTGGTAGACCTAACTAAGACTTAGCATCCTATACCACCATTTTCAGTGGCTTATAACTTAGCCTGAATGGTTGAAGTCTGTCAGGATTTTTTCCTATGCTATCTCCCTGCATTGGGTTGGATTTTTTAAAAAATCTTTAGGCAAAGAGAAAGGATTCATTTATTTCTGAGAATGAGTTTAGTAGGCAAATTATTTTTTAATAGACAAAACCAAGTTCCAACTATTTCTTTCAAGAGCTCTTGTGCTCTTCAGGTTTTGGACCAGAATTTGACATTTGATAGGGAATATCAAAGAAATGTTTTTTAATGTCCCAGAAAAATCAACCCAGATTTGTTTTAGTAATAAGCATCTGAAAAATCACCCTTTGAATGTGCTCAGTAGCTCATGCTAAAGGTTTGCTGTTGAAATTCCTAAATATTTTACTTGTTATGGCTCATGTCCTAATCCCATAAAGCAACAAAGACATGCCTGCTGCATTCTCATGCCTCAAGCTAGCTTCAGATGTGGGGGAGAGGGGCCGATGCAATAAGTAACAGCCCTTTTATTCTTGATAATGGGACGTGTTAAAGTAAAGGCGAAATAGGGATGGTGTAGCCATCCTCTTACGCTCAATGTAGCGATTAGGGAGGAGAGGCGGAAGTGGGGCCTTTGGCGTGCTGAGGATGCCCACTCCTATTTCAGTCTGGTTTTTATTACTGAAGTAGATTTACTGAACTCCAGGAGATTATGCTTCAAATGTAATGAAGTCTTGTGCAATTTGCATTTCTTATTGGGCAAGTTAAACAGTAAAATTTTTTCCCCCATCTAATTTATATTGGGATGAATGAGAGTGCATATATTCCATTCTGTCAGAACTGGAAATGCAAGTTGAGGTTCTATCTCATATATGACTCTCTTAAGCTACATTTATGCCTTCTGGGTTGTGAGCTGCCCTGGGAGCTGGTGCAGCCCCTGGAATAGGTTAAAGCAGCTTTGTGGCTACTCAAATTCACAGCAGCTTGTTGGTTCTTAGTCCAGAATTGCAGAGTCCTGCAGCCACTTCCCCTACCATTATTTTTCCTACCCTAGCACACTTCTACAGAGGTCTGCAAGATGTGGCAATATATGGCCATGTATCATGGCTTTGTGCTTCCACTGTGCTGGAGGAATTCACACTTATTTTTAAAAAAAGATGAATGTGCCAAATCAATGGTTTTTCTGTGCTCTTTGTAACCACTAGAATTCAACTCCCCTCCAGAGCTAGCAATAGTGGCTTTTCATTCCAGATTTCTCTGTGTTGTCTGAAAGAGTTGGTTAAGCCACTGGCAAAGTCAGGTCCCACTCTAGTCACTGGTGGACATTGATGATTACTGTCTGTTAGTGCAATCAGGTCTTAGATTTCAGTTCTGTTAGTGACCCATACAGGCAGTCGTTATGGCTCCACTTGATGGAATTCTTGTTTCTTTAGTTTACTTTTTCTTTAAAAAATATGCATTTGTATATAAAAAGCTACTTTTTAAAAAGTTAAAGTGCAAGCACTGAAATATTAAGAAATGTCTAAATGTTTTCTAGCCTTGTGTGATTTTTGATGATCTTTGTGATCGTATACTATTTGACCCCTGATTCATTCATTGCACGTGGTGGGCAATAAATGAGACAATGCTGCAAGAAAAAGTGTTGTTGTTTTTTCTTGTGACAAATGTACTAAGTTGGGTCTTTTCTTGGTTAAGCAACAAACATCACTTTGTTGCTGGATACCATTATCATAGTGCATATGCATAGTTGCTCAGATTAATCTTGCAAATTTACTTTTGGCACTTCCTGACATGATTAGTTGTCTTAGCAACTTTTAATACTTTAGTGACAAGTATCAGAAGGATAGCCATATTAGTCTGAATCTGCATAAACACAATCAATTATTATTTGTAAATTAAATATCTTCCAATAATGTTAATTGCGGTCTGAAAATCTGTTGTGGTGCCTTTGTGTGACGAAACAGTCATGACGGTTAGAAGCATACAAACATTAGCCATATATTCAATGTGGATCTGTGGCTGAAATCAGGCTCACTGAAGAGAAAGGAGACTGAGCAGAGTGAAGCATCCGCAAGTAAAATGTCTAATGAAACAGACATAAGTAAATGAAAAGTGAGAAAATGCTCTGCTGGCTACTAAAACTGAGGTTAGAATTGGCTTTGGTGGTGGTCCGCAAAGGGCTCGGGAGGGTGATTGGGGATCCGCGAACGGTTTGGAGGGAGGCAATTTGGAGTTTGCACTAGTGAAAAGGTTGGGAACCACTGCTATAGAATTATCTGAAGTTGGACACTCAGAGGGACACTGCTCAGGGGAAAGGTTTTGTACCTTTAGTAGTAACTGGAGTTTTTGGAAATGTGGCCCTTCATGAACTTCATTACCTGTCCTCTTCCCCTCTGCTTCAGAGGAATTCTTATGGGACTTCATGGTAGAGAAAGAATTGAGGACAATTTTCCCACATAGCCTGTAAAGCCTCTTTGTGGGGGGTGAGGATGTATGGGGTGCATAGGCACCTCTGCCAAAATCTTGATCTAAGGTGCATGATGCAAGTGTACTGGAAGTAGAGTGCTGATAGGGACACACATCTCAAAGAACCCTTATTTACTGCACAATGTGGGTAAACTCATTGTCTCCTAAGCAATAAAACTTTCACTTGGTAGACCTAACTAAGACTTAGCATCCTATACCACCATTTGACTAATCCTTTCAGAAAGTAAACTGAATCCTTCATGCATCCTTTATTACAGGGGCAGGCAAAATATGGCGCAGGGGCCAGATCACTGGATCCATCCTGCCACTGGCTTTATGCCTGCTATAGCCTCCCACACCTCTCTAAGGCTATGGCTACACTACAAGATTTTTCCGGAAGAGGAAATGCAAATGGAGCACTCATTTGCATATGTCACACTGTCATTTGCATTTTCTCTTCGGATCCTTTTTGAGGAAGAGGTTTTTGCGCACAAAAGTGCTGTCTTCATAGCAATTCTGTGCACAAAAACCTCTTCTGCAAAAAGGATCGGAAAGGAAACGGAAGAGAAAATGCAAATGAGAACACAACATATGCAAATGAGTGCACCATTTGCATTTCCTCTTCTGGAAAAAGCTTGTTGTGTAGCTTTAGCGTAAGTGGCTGGCTGTGGGGGGCCATGTGCTCTCTGCACACTGAGAACTCTGGGGTAGGAGGCAGCTTTGCATGCTACCTCCGCCCCAAGCATAGTTCTACAGCTTCCATTGGCTGGAAACCAGCCAGTGGGAGCTGCCTGCGCCATGCTTGTGGCACTAGCAGCACACAGGAATGCAGCATGCAGAGAGCACATGGCTCTCATAGCCAGCCACTTTGAGTGACATGCAGGGATCCTGCCTGAGGGTCTTGCTGGGCTGCTGGCTGGGAGCCACCAAAGGTAAGCACCTCTCAGCCAGAACCTGCACCTGGCACCTCATTCCCTCTGCTTCCCCGCCCCAGGTCACAACCATTGTTTCCTCTAACTTTTTTACATCCATGTGTGGAATAAATATTACTACATGCAAAGAGGTATGTGCTCCACTGTTAGAAGCACATGCTGCTGGTTGTGGGTGCGCTGCTAATCAACAGCACAGCATTTGAATCTCTCCTGGGTGTCCTCCCAAGCATTCAGATTACAGGGCACACGGGTCACAATGCAAGTCCTCTCCACCCCCACTTCTGCACCCATGTCCGTTCTTAGACCTTGCACTGCTTGCTGCATCCCAGTCCCCTACCTTGAGCTCCCTACTGCACCCAAACCTTCACCCCGACACTGCACCTCCTCCTTTAGTATCATAGAATAGTGCAGACCGTGACCACTTACCAAATTATTTGAGTACTTCCCCATCAAAAATAATTTCCCATCCCTGCCTTAATTAGGAAACTGTATATTGCACTGGTAAAAGATCGAAATCAAAGACTCTCTTCATTTTTGTTTTGATCCTACCCTATGGTTATAATATAATTTTTGCATAATATTTATTACTGTTAAATTTGACATACATGAGAACCATTTTAAAATAAAAGCTTATACCATAATTGGTTGGGTTTTCTTGACTGTAATACTTTGTGTAGAGCTTTTAAAATATAATCTCAATGTTCTTTTAAAGATAGGTGAGTATTATTAATCCCATTAACATATAGGAAAACCCGGGCACAAAAGATCATGTGTTTCCATGTTGTTGATCTAGTGGGTGCCTTAGTATCAAGTAGATATGTGAAATGCTTGAGGTAAGTCACTGACAGTTGGGAGAAGAATCCCAAGTGGGTTAACTCCCAGGCCTGTGCTTACTTCAGCTGTTTCTATTTATGTTGCATTGATGTTTGTAATAGAGTAGTCATAACATTGAAAATTGTATTAGGTTCAGAGTGAGCTAAATGTTTGATTTATTTTTTCATTAATCTGGTTACTTTGCATGTTTGTTATATATATTTATAATATATGGTGAATATATATAATCTTGCTCTGTCTGTGTCTCTCTGGAACGACAGAGTGATGTCATGTCACTCTGTGTCCACAGGAGCCAAGCCCCACCCGAAGAGCTGGGGTTGCTGAGCTGTGTTGCTGGGGGAAGAGCGATTACTGTTGGGACCTTGGCAGCCTGGCTCTCCCTGCTGGCTGGGAAGGGGGTGTGTAAAGTGGGGGCTAGCACAGCCCCGGCCCTCCCTGGCAGCCAGCGGGAGAGCTGGGATTGGCAAGTGTAGCAAGCAGGCAGCACAGACCCCTAGAATATTTATAGTAAAAATGTACATTTACATTAATAAAACCTATATTAAGTAAAACACTTTTCCACTTTGCTTTACAGGGTCTTGACAATGTTCACAAACAGAGAGTTGCCGAAGTACTAAATGACCCTGAGAGCACAGAAAAAAGGCGAAGCCGAGAGAGTCTCAATGTTGATGTGGTAAAGTACGAAAGTGGCCCTGATGGAGGGGAGGAAGTGAGTATGAGCGTAGAATGGAATGGGGTAAGTACAGTACACAGTTGAAGAAAATAGCCTAGAAAATTTACCACCATAACACCAACTTTTGTCCAGTTGTCATTCTATTGTGTTTTCGGTAGTTTTGGTAATTCATCTGCTTTACACTCTGTAATTCTGCAGAATTAAGAATTAAAGTACAAGATCTTGCATTCAGTAAATTCTCTTTACGTTTTTATTACTTTTTTTAATTGTCCACAATTTTTTTTGCCCTGTAAAGTAAACCTTTTTTAGGAAGAAGCATTTGAATGCTGATTGAGTGTCCTGGTTTTTGTTGGGTGCATAATCTTAGTCTATGGTTTCCTCAGTAGATTTGCAATTAATTTATTTCTGCTTATTTACTTTGTCATGCTTGCCTCTAGGTTAAATGTGTCCTGTAGGTGTCATTACAGGAATATTAAAACATAAGTTGTTTTTAAAGTAAATAAAAATAATCAGTTTAAGACTTAAAAACAACTTCAGTCACCTTTCTCCCAACTTTGGCAGAATGTACAATTTGTAAATTAAAGAAGGGTGATCCATAATCTGCTTTTATATGTGCTGGTTCATGGCAGCTTGATAGTAACTATACATTTTTTAAATGAAATGTGTATCTCTACTTCCCATTCACTCCTTTCACATAAGCGTCCTTGTGAGTCTTTATTCTGTCTTTTAATGTCTTGTTCCACTACCTAACATAATAATTGTGTCACTATTTAGAACAATAACAACTTTTAAAAATAGATGTTTTTAATGTGTGATTAGCTGTGCATTTTCTATCCTTTTGTTATGTCTCATGCTTTTAGGTATATGGAGTAAGTTTACTTAATTGTGTTTGCTTCAGTCACTGGCTTTCTTATTGTATTTTGTTGCTACCAAGGGGAGTCAGTCATGCAGGCAATTAAACTGTTAATTCATTAAGCTATAGTTCTGCTAAAAGCACTGATGCATTTTGCCAAATTGTTGTAGTGATAGATTTGTCTGACTGCTTTTGCTTTAGGTTGTTTATCATACTTTACAAACTAGCATGCTTCTAAAGTTCATTTCTCTGACAGATTTCCAGTTGTAAGAAACTTCAAGATCCTAAAGCTGACTTTGTAAAAACTTACACTTGCTCAACTTGAATGGAGAATGTTCTCTCCATCTTTGGTTGGTTTTGTCATTTACCAAATGACAGTCTTTTGGCATTGGTATTCTCCATGCCAAGACAGTCAATCAGCATCTGTTGTGAATTAATGTTGCATCATTAGTGTCCCCAAAATAAGTTTGGTGACTCAATTTTGTCTTAATGTTGTCCACTCAGGATTAGAACTGTGTACTGTACTCCTCCCTTATTTCTGCCGTACTTTGCATGCCTTTGTGTGTTATAAGTGAATAAAACCTTTTTCTACTGTTTGCTTTTAATTAAAACAAGCATGCAGGTTTTGGAATGATAAAGAACCTTCTGGAAAAATACAAGATGGTATTTCTAGGTCAATATTTGAATGAAACCTGATAAAAATATGTTGACCTAAAAAAATTATTTGCTTTTAGGGACCAAAATCAAGGAAGCGTTGATTTTTACAAAGTCTAGGAATTGCACCATTCATTTTTAAAATGTTGCATCACTTTTCCTGATACACATGGGACTATTCATAGTCCACATTTTCTTCCTCACTGGAGGGAGTTTGTTCATACACAAGTAAACAGGAAACTTCCCAGTATTGCTTTTTACCTTATTTTGATGCTGTTCTTTTCTGTACCAGTAGGGTGTGATGTGTTATCCTTCCTTCATCTCATCTCGCCACACATATTCTGCTTCTCAGACAGGAAGTACTGTTGAATTTCTATCATAGACAATTTAATTTTTTTATGGAGATCAAAGAAAGTGCTTCTTTTAGTAAAAGCCGCCTTATGTGCACCTGAACTCATGAGTTGGTTCAAGAACTTGGCTGCAGACAAAACAGTGTAGCATTAAGGATACACATTGTTTAAACTTTATATAGTTGAATTTTTTTTAACTGTCCATGAGAAATTTTCTGCTGTTTTTGACCAGAAATCCAGAAGAAGAATAATTTTGTGAGGGGAAAACAAAGTAACAGAACATTGCGGAGAGTAACTTTCCACATGTAGTATATCTTGGACAAGAACTGTCCCCTCATGATACCCTCCCTACCCACTCACGAGGCTTCTGGCTGCCGCTGCTGGCCGTCTCATGTGGGAGAGGGCTGGCAGCAGGAGCTAATAGCCTTGTGCCAGTTTCTGCTTCTGGCACCCCATCTGCCATGCTTGGGGTGGTCAGCTCTGACCACTGGCGGAGGCGGGGGGAGGCTGAAGCAGCCCTCTGCTTGTGGTGGGCTGCTCTTGGGTGCTGGTTAACCCATACCAGTAAGCATCACCCTTACTGGGTGATGCTTATGGGTAACTAACTAGTTACCTGTTCATATCCCTATTATGTATATTGTTTACTAACATTTAGTTTAAAAACTTGTTCTATAAATATTTACAGTACACTGTTCTCACAACTTATTTTAAAAACATAAGTTTCAAATTGTAGCTAAAGAATTTGCTTTCATAAACACTTCAAAATGTGTTTTCTTATACTGACTTTTCTAGACAAGCTTGAGTCTTGCTCCTTGTCTGTCTCAGGAACTGAGAGAGATTTTGTTACACAATGGCAACAAAGTTGAAATGCAAGCTAACTTGAAAACTGTTGATCTGAATGTGCCTATTTTAAGATGCAAGGAATAATTTGCCTTTTTATTCATGGAATCATTTAACTGAAATGTAGATTAATAGTCAAAGCTGCTGAATGTCCACAAACATTTCAGAAAGAGTGATTCAATAAGTGTCTTTATGTAATTCTAAACAAAACATAAAATCTAATTTGATAATAGATCTCTGTCTGCAGGTGAAGATTTAATTGAAATTCCCACCTAGTGTTCAGTCACTGTCAGTGGGGCATCTTCTGTTAGTATTCATTCCACTTGCTACAGAGAGATGCCTTCATCTTTTGACAGTCTTAAATGATATCTTTATTCATTATCCCACAGTTGAGAATGGAAAGACTTATTCAATTATTTTGTAACTTCTGTAGGTAGGTAGTTCTTTCAATTCAGTTTTGAGGACCATTAGGGTAGGCAGTATGTGGAAACTTGCATTATAGTATTTTCCTTAGGCATTTTAAAATAAATATATATATAATATACGAGAATAAATCAACAGTTCCATAGATTCTTTTTATCTCAAATCAGTAGACAGAATTTTGTTTGGAGGAGTAAGGGAAACTTTTCCTTTTTAGTGTTGGGAGGTGTATTCCTGACAGAAGTTAAAGCTTAAATGAATGCACCTTGTTCTGTTCATTTCTTTTAAAGCCTTTATTAATTTTTTTCTCTTTTTTTAGAGTTTTGTATTCTTTTCAATTAAAAAAAAATCATTCTTTTCTCTGCATATACTACACGTGATGTGTTTTATAATATAAAAGCAATTTGTTTTTTAAAAATTTGCTTTTCTCTTATTTACATACATTAATAAAAGACTGGATCTCTTTTGGTAATTTTTGTATGATGCATGTTAGTGAAATAGGTTAAAATACATAAGCTGCTATCTTTTTGGTAATTAAAAGGATCAGGAATAGCAGCACTTAGAGGTGCAACCACAAATCTTTAATTTTAAAAGACATCTCGGCATATGACCTAGAAATACTATAAGCATAACTGTTCAAAATTGAAAACTGTTGAACTTTTCCCAACAGTTTCATTCAGTTTTTCTTCTCTCCATTTCTGACAGGCCTAGATGCCTTTTGTGATTCTTATACTGCCTCCTGCATGACGGGCGTGCACCATCTTCAAGCTTTAACTTCTCTCTTCAGTACTGACTGCTGTTTTAGCAAATCCCTTACTATTTTTGTCAGAGCTACACTTCCTTGTAAACTAGCCATTCCTTCATTGCTAGTGTCTATTTTTTGTTTCCTGTTTCTCTACATGTGTAGCTTTACAAGATATGTATCTAGTCATACAAAATGTGTTATTACAACCATTTGCTATGTAATACTTAAGTAAAAAGTAAGAATGAACTTTATAAGTAGCTGTTCACTATGAAAACAGGTAGTTAAAAGTATCACAGAAGGTATTATTAAAATAGCATGATGGTGATCTTTACAGAATAAAATGTAAAAGTAAGGCATGTGCTCCAAGTGCTTTAAAATGTATTTAGAGACCTATAATGTGGTTAACCTCAATATGGAACTCCGGATAATTCTAAAGTAGCATTGCTGTTTAGTTTTTGTGTGAAATTTTGGCAATTATGCTTTTCTCTACTAATCTTGGTGTTCGGTGATTTGTGTATTTGTCTTTCTAACTTCTAATAAACTCACTCCAACTGATGGCTGTCTGTCTGCTTAGTAGTACTTTCTCCTTTTTATAGTCCTTCCTTTCAAAGTGTAGCCATGTAGGATTTCTCAAAGTAGTAAGTGGTACTACTACTTTTACTAAACTGTTGACTTTTAAGAGAAAACTAATTATTTGGCATACAAATTTGGTATCTCTGCTTAAGAGTTAGACTTCTCTGTCATAAAATGAGAATGTAATGTGCAGAAATCTATCATTTCATCTTGTTCTGTATTTTTCTGAAACACGTTGAAGGTAAAACTAAATCTAAATATATATAATTTTCTCATCCTAAATGATACCTACATTTTTAATAAACTTAATGTATAGAATTTACTAAATATGTTTAGTGCATATGGCGGAGATAAATAACAAAAATAATAAGTTTGTTCTTTTTAGACCTTGATAGAATGCTCTTGCTTGATATTGCATTCACCTTTCCCATATGGTCGCATGAAAATAAATATGGAATGCTATAGAGGTGACAAAGGTGTTGATATGCATTTATGAATTATGTATAGTTTAAGATTATTTTTAACTGTTATGGATTACAGTTAACCATAAATTGAACAGATTTTCATCTTTCTGAAATCTTTGTGATAAGTAGATGCTATTGATTATGAATGCTGACCATAATCTTGGTAAAATAAAACTTAAATGACATTTTAAAAATGTATATAATTTGGCACTATTACCCAATGGTAGCAGAGCACAAGTATTTTTACAATACATATTTATTCAGCTGTGGAGGAGGGGTAAAAATTGTTGCAGTTTCACATTTATTGAAATTTTTTTCAGGATGGCACTGGATCTTTAAAACGCAGTGGTTCCTTTAGCAAACTCCGTGCTTCAATTAGACGCAGCAGTGAGAAGCTGGTTAGAAAGCTGAAGGGAGGAAATTCACGAGACAGTGAACCAAAGAATCCTGGGTAATTATCTATTCTTAGATGTGCTGGTGTGCCCAGTTTGTGTCCACTTTGTAGCTTAGCACTGACCAAGGTAGCCTTTTCTCTTGTGGCCATAATGTACCTTTATGCACTTAGAATTGTGGTACATAAGAAGGATTTATGCATATTGCATTCTTTACTGATAATGATACAGGGAATAATTTAACACTGTTTTAACAATGCCTTTATTTTAAATGGAAAAATTAATTTGTGTTTAGTATTTTTTGCTCACGTTTTTTACAGAATTTTCAGCTTGTTAAAAGGGGATGCGTAGTGTGATGGCACCTCTAAGAAAAAACTTTATTTAGAATATGTTGATATAGTCAGTATTATTGGTGCACTTTATTAAACTGCTAAATTTCTCTTCTCTCAAAGAATAAATTAAGCTGCCCATACTTTATTCTTAAGTATTGGAAGAGGAGTATGGGGAGAGTTGTTCGTTTGTTTTGCTTCAGTAAAACTCACGACTAGCATTCTGAATATTTAATGTATTAAAATAAACTTCAGTGTTAACATAATTTGGCATGAATTTTTTTAGATCTATATAAACAGTGTGTTTCACATACTGTACATATTAACATTCTACTAACATTTGAAACATTCTCTTTGTCAGGAGTATAGAAGTGGAAAGCTATTGTTAAAGCAAACAGAATGTTGCCTCTCAGTCCTTAGTGTTGAGGGAAAAGGTTTGTTGAAACCTTTAGTCATGCTTTGTTTAGAAATTAACATGTGACATTTATTAAAAGTTATGTCAACCCAGCTACATGGCTGGGAGATGTGAAAAATCTACACCTCTGAGCAATAACATAGTTAAGCTGAGCTGAATCACATTGTAGACAGCACTAGGTCAATGGTAAAGATATGATTCTGTGCCCAGTGAAGGGAAGTCAGTGGCAAAATGCTCACTGAATTCATTGATGAACAAGCAAGCTGTAAATGAAAGGCTGTCATTTTTCTTTTCAATCAAGCTAGTGGGAGAGTGAATTTTTTTAAAAAAGGAAAGCTACACACAACACTGTAGTGGAAGAAATTCAAAACTGCAAAATAGTTGAGTAAAACAGTACAAATGCTAGTCTAGAATGTGTGTCTCATCCTTCCAGTGTTAAAAAAAAAAATTATAAATGTTTCTTTAATTTACGTACAGCTCTTTATCAACACTGCCTATTGCTCTGGTTCATCATTGTTTTTATACACTGTAATTTAAACCTAATAAATATTTCCTCTATTCCAATATTTTGGGGGAGGTTTTAAAAAATGTCAACATGTTATGAAGTCAGGTTGTTATTCCTGGTCTCCTGCAGTTGTTAATAGGGAATATATGACCAACTTATTTTTTCCCTTATAAATATAATAGCTAACGGGCATTTTTCTTATATTTTGAAATGCTTTAATTTATTTGGCATTGCAATCTGCTATAAACACCTACTGTATGTGTGCTGCATGTAAGTAAAAGTACTCTATCTACATAAATATAAACCATATTTTTGACTGTATGCCACCTGCTAACGTATGTGTGGTATTTTATTCAAATGATAAAAGTTAGTGTAGAACAGATATTAAAGTATCAATATCATCATTGGCTTCCTGTGTTCTTTGAAGGTGTCTCTGATAATTGAAGGTAAAATTCTTCATTAGTTTATCTTTTATATACATATTCCAGAAATAGTTCGGATTTCAAAATCTTTCAATGCTCATGATCATGTAGTGCCAAAAAAATAATTTTCAGTTCCTAAAAAACTTGCAGTACTGGCAAATTTTATTTTGAATTAATCTTTTGACTAGTAAAATGCACAAATAATATCTGGAGGTTGATGAGAATACCTATACAAGCTTTGTTTTTGTACATAAAATATTTAAAAATATCTTAATTTTCATTTGCGTAGCTCTTTTTGAAAAATGTAAATGTCTGGTTTGTAAAAATTATTTTTTAACCTTTTCTAGATCATGAAAGCACAATTTAGAGGATAGGATTAAGTGAAATATCTTATTTCAACTTCATTTCTGGTAGTAATGTTGCTTTCCATAGTAATTTGCTAGATTTAGTTAAAACTGCTCTGTTTTTTTACTGACATTTGGTGTATATATTTTTATGTAAACACACATTTGTATTTAACATATTGTAAATATTCAGATACAGCATTGCTAGTGTGTATAATTATCTACTGATTTATAAAAAAAAAATTAGAAACAATTTTTCAGATGTTTTATTTTTTCCATGAGATCATGGGGTTTTTTTCTTATTTTTACCTTTTCCCTTTAGTATCTCGTCTGTTTTCTCTAAAGCTTGTTCTTAGTAGGAACAGGTGAATTGCAAACTACTTTATCCTCACTTATTGTCATAGTCATTGATCATGCTGTCAAGCAAGGATTAATATCTCAAGTGAGGAATAGGCGACAGGAGTAGATGAGCTCCAAAGCCCAGTCATCAGACATCTATTCACAGAAAATTGAGGGAAGGCGGATTTAAAAAAAAATCACTTGTTGGCAAATTACTTCTATGGAAAATCTTTTTCCTTAAGATGATAGGTCTGCAAGAGTTGGGTATTATAAACACACCAAGTTTCAAGTCCTATATGAACTACTTTCCTTAGGCACTTCTTTTATTCCAGATCTTTAATTCTAAATTTATTTTGCTTTGTTGATAGGTTGATGATTTTGATCTCTCATTTTTAAAATTTGACCATAATTCAGGTTAAACTTACCACAGGAAAGCTTTTTTAAAAAATAGATAGCTTTTAAACTTACAGAAAAACGATGCATGTATGTTTAGTATTTTTATAGTCCTGTTTCTGATTTGAAAAAATTCCAAGTGCATTTGCAAGCTAATTTTCATATATAAATTAAAATCTAATCTACTTCTAAAGTAAATCAATTGCTAGTAACTTTTGAAACTTAATCATAGTATCTGTTTGAGGTTCATTATTAGCACTTGAGCAAAAGTATACCGGATGTTTGGATAAGTTTGTACTGGTGGATTTTTTTTGTTTTCCTGGAGTTTGGATTTTGGTTTTTAATAAATCTTTATGCACTTACTTTTTTAAAAGAGATTTTAATTTGGAATGTTTTATGTGTGTTGCAGATTAACATATTTTGACTTTCATGTGTAACCTTAATTGTGTATATTATATAAATAAATAACAGATAGGTGTAACCAATGCATGATTCATTGCTTCTTTTTTGTTGCTAACACTTGTCATATTTTAAATCACGTGCATTCTATCTGAAACGTTCAACATTAATTACTCTACTTTCATTGTATATCTGCTACCTGCATTCATTTCTATAGGTTTTTGTATTTTTGTTTCAGCATTCTAGACATACGCATTATTTGGGCTAAGAGCCCTCAGATCACTTAAGAACATGCTTATCTTCGTGTGAATAGGCCTGTTGATTTCAGTGGGACCAATGACTAGGTTGTTGTGCAGTGTTAGCTGTGCAGAGACCCCTTCACTCACAGGTGCAGGAAGCCACCTGTGCAGATCACATTGCAGGATTGGGGTCTAACTTTGGTGTTAATGTGACACACACAATAATTTTAATGTGCTCCTTTTAGGAGCACAAAAATTATATGAAAGAGCCAGTGGTACCAAACGAACAGAGTACCACATTTTAGTTCACCTGTATTTGGGGTGGGGAATAGCAAACATCCATATTGTACCTTTTCAGCAAAATATTTTGACATTGGGGACTGTTTACATTAATTTTAAGCTAGCGTTGTAATTAATCTTACTTTTTAAATAGTTTAGTCTTAAATGTTATAGGTGTTTGAATAATTTTTAATAAAGTTCAGGATGAAAACAATGACTAAGAATATCAATCCTCAAGAATATGGAAGTTGATATAATATAAAATCGTTAATACAGAGTTATCCTGATTAACACTAGCCCTTCTAAAATAACAAGGGTTTAAATTGATTGTATTATCTTTGTGGTATATTGCTTTCATAAGACCATTTTGGGACTACCACTGCTTGAAATATATTATGGCCACTAACAATGATAGTAGTAGCAACCTTGCAGTGTCCTTCACTTCAAAATGACTGAAATCAGACTCAGCAGATTTTTTAAAAGTTTGCTATTTTTTGCCTTATTTATGTCAACAGACATCTTTCCATAGTTTTTACTAGTTAAAGCAACTTATTTGATAAATGTATCAATATGTATTAATATTTTTCACAAACATTTATTGAACAACTACATCTGAATAAAACTTAAAAAAATGAATAGTCCTGTAGTACCTTAGAGACTAGAGAATTTATATAGTATCATGAGCTTTCGTTGGCGCAACCTGCTTCTTCAGATTAATAATTTTTTTTTTTAAATCAGCTAAATAATTTTAAACTAAGCACTAAATTGAAGCATATGTTAAATTAATGTATTCAGAAATGACAAATTTTGGAAACTGATGTTAATACCTTTAATGGTTCAAATTATTTCAAACTCATAACGTGCTTAAGTACTCTGGGGCTGGCAATTATTTTGATACTTATCTTAATATTAAAAGAGCAGGAAAATGTGCAAATAAGTAACTACAGGAAGTATTTCTCTTAAAGAGCATACTTCATATTAGGTTTCATGGCTTATATTAAAACTCCCTTAAGTTTGCATCCGTATCATTATACCTGTGTGTTTAGAGTAATTATTCTGATTGGTTTATCCTTGCATGTTCACTATCCTGGTTGCAGCATGAAGCGTGCCAGTTCTCTGAATGTTCTTAACATGGGTGGCAAGGCTACTGAAGATCACTTTCAAGTAAGAAGATCTATAATATTCTTACACAAGTAGATACATCCAGCAGGGTTTGGGCAGAAGAGCATGAGAAACAATAAAATGATAGAGTACTCGGTAAGACCCTCAGTATAGCAAAGCACTTTAAGCATGTGCTTAAGTCCATTAGCATTCAGCAAAGCACTTAAGCAGGTGCTTAAAGTTAAGTATGTGTTCAAGTCCTATTGATATCAGTCAGTTAAGCAGGTGCTTAACTATAATGCTGAACTAGGGCCTGAATTGGAATATTGGAATGTCTAATATAATTTAAAAAGGAATATTTGTAAAGATCAGATATTCTGTATTTTTGATGGAACAAGCTTCTCTTAAAAGGTCCAGTCATACTAGGTGTTATGTGCTCTCAAATCCCAATGACATCAGTGAGACCTTAGGGTACAGAGGAACAGGCCCTAAATGTATCTCATGTTAAGTATTGGTTCTACTAAAATCTAAACTGTAACTATTTTGCCTATTTTCATTGTGCCTGATAGCTACTACACATAACTGTTTGTACCTAATAAGTCACCACTGCATATATTGTTAAGGAAAGCTAGTAATGTTCTATGTTCTAAACATCATTGTGCATTTTACTAACAGCAGCTGTGACTAACTTTGAGGGAAATATTAATTTGTCAGTGCCAGCATACTGTACGATGTAGAATCCTCACCTTTATTTGTCCCAAGGCTTATAACTAAAACTGTCGCTGCATGGATCTCTTTTGCTATTGTGTGACATAAAGGTATCTCCTTTAGTATTAGCCCTAAAGAATCTTCTATGGTTTTTTTAGTTCTCTGAAATTTATGCAAAGATGTTCCTTCATTAATTTATGTGAACGTTGACCCAAAAAAATCCACCAAGGTAAACAAAGCACTTTGCAGCAGTAATACAAAAAATACTCCAGGCTATCAAAATTTGAGGCCATGTCTGCACTAGGGAACTATTTAGAAATTACTAAATTTGACTTAAGAACTCCCAATTTACCAAATTCGAACTAGTATGCCCTCACTATGGGGAAGTATCAACATTAGACCAAGGCAGGCACCGTAAATGTGGATGTGCTATCTTGGACTTAAAGCCCAGGAAGAGCTTAGGGGAACTGCGGGAGGCCTCCCAGAGGACAATAAGCTCGAATTAGCAGTATCGGAACATCCACAATAACATTATTTTGGAATTAGCTTTATTCTTCATGAAAAACAAGAGTTCGAATTCCATGACCCATTGTTTCAAAATAACAGGTTTGGTAGTGTAGATGCACCGCTTATAAATTCAGACATGGGAGGGGAGCTATTTCAGAATAAGGTCTTAGTGTAGACCAGGGCTCACAGTCTTAGCCTAGGAGCAATTAACTTTATAACTGGTTTTCTGTGCATTTTATAATCTGTGCTTTCTCAGTGAGCTTTACTTACCACATCTGAAATGTGTAAAGTTAACAGTATATTTATAAATTTTACAAATATTTTCCCCTGAATTTGCCAAGTAGAGAAACACTTGCCAATATTGCTAGGCTGTCAGCCCCTTCTGTAATAAATATTTGTGTTAGTAATGCAAAGAGAGTGCACAGATATAATTATATCTGTTCAGCATAGCTAGATGAAGTAAAGATAGTTATCAGGATATGAAAAAAACCTTGTATTTCTCAAACTAAAGTAGGTAAGCACTATCATTTTCCTAAAGTATACTAATTGTTCAGGTTATTTGCATTAGTTTGTAATTTTTAGGCATTCTTTTTAGACATCCAGGTAACTCAAGCCTTTTAATAATTGTTTTCATTTTTTTCATACAGGAACGAAATAATTGTCTGACAGAATCAAGAGCTCTGAGTGCCAGTCACACTAATTTGGCACATTGAAGTTCTTGGACAAAAACTAGCTAAAATTCCTTTGTGAATAAAGAAGCACTGAGACTCTCAAAGCTTTGGTTCCTTATCACTCTCTATAGGAACATCTAATTTGTAGATTACATTTTGTAATGGACTGCTGTTTTTACTATTCTAAAATAGTGACATTTTAAAACATAGTGGATATTTTCTTTGCAAGAGAAACAATATAGATGTATATTACTCATTGCACTGCTGTCATTCGTGCTACTTATGTTGATGTCTGTTAACAGATCTGAATATCAGCAGCTGAAACGTGAAAAAATAGAAATATACATAAACATACCAAAATGCGAAGGAGAAGAAAGGGTTCTTTATATTGATATTTGAAACAGGTTAAATGAAATGTGTAGCAGAAAGTATATGCAGTGCTTGAATGAGACAAATATCTGTTATGTCATCACTGTATAAATTCACAATGGGGTTTACTGTACTGGTGTGACATTACCTTGCATCACTGTGTCTCACAACTTCAGATGTCTTGCCTTAAAAGTAGAGCTTAAATACTGGATTCCTTAATCACTAGATGTAGATACTAAATTTCGTAATGGAAACACTTAGACTGCCTTTAACTATAGGTGGCATGCATACCAACACCGATAACTATGAAACTTTGTATCTTGTTTATTTAGGCCCAGTAATAAGTAGTGATTGATTTGGGGGAAATGGCAAACGTTTTGGCCCGTATTTTTTTTCAGCGGATGTACATTGAAGCTTTGGGGTACAACAGCCCCAGAGCAGTAGCTGCTGTTTTACTAGAGCAAAACATTGTGCCTCAGGTTTCTGACACATCTCCATTGTTTATTCTTGCTTGCTCCAACTCTTGCCTCTCTCCATAGTAGTTAACTGCAACAGGAGTAAATGAAGCGGGTGACTCCATTCTAGGCTGGTATACTGTGGAATAGCTGCTGTGCAGAGGACCGCTTATGAGAAACTCTACTGAAGTTTAATAAGTTTAAGGCCCCATTAGAAGCACTAGGTGCCCTTATTTGGTAGACAGGTCACATTTCTGATCAGCCTTCCTTTTTAAATCTATATATGATTAATAGATATTCTGTCTGTATTGAGGCCTGCTGCTTGAACTAAATATATGATGTTTGAATATCTTGTGAATGCTAATATTTTCAGTAAAATGAGACTTTTAAAATACTACACTTAACAATTTGTAGACAGGATTTATATGCAAGTGGAAAGAAAGTAAAAATGCATGTTTTTAAATGGTTATGTAATTAAAATACAGAACAAAAATAACTTTGGGATGAGCTGGAATACTAATATGAGCTTAGACTTGCACATATTGAGGTAGGATAAAGGAAGGTGAACAATAAGTTTTGGTATTTGATCAGGCTGTGAAGAACTCATTAGACCTAAAACTTTTATAAATGCGTGTCCCACTTGCATTCTAGTTTTAAAGCTTATTTTAATGACAAATGAAATAAGTTATATGTATAATGCACTTATGTTTACTATGAGGTACTTCATTAGCATCTCTATAAAAAAGAAATAATTATATATGGTATATTTGCCATAAAAATAGTCCAGAAATTGAGACTTGATGCTGCTTATGTATTGTGGTTTTAGTGCATACTAGTGTAATTAATTGAACTTGAGAATAAAATCTGAACAACAATTTGTTTAGAAGCTTCAGAGGGCTAGCTAGCTGAGTTAGTCTGTAACAGGAAAAACTTAAACAACAATTAGGCTAGTAGCACTTTAAAGACTAACACAACATGTAGATGGTGGTATGAGCTTTCGTGGGCACAACCCACTTCTTCAGATGACAGAAGTAGGTTGTGCCCACAAAAGCTCATGATACCATCTACATATTTTGTTAGTCTTTAAGGTGCTACTAGACTATCTCTAAACAAATTAAACAATAAATAGTCAATGTGGACTCGAATTCTAATTGTTTGAGAGCTTTTTTATTGTTTTAATAAAACATAACATACATTTGTTGATTAATTAATAGTTCTCTGCATAAAGCTTGAAAAACTAGCTTTGTGGAACTAAACAGCAGTTGCTGGGTGGATAAGAAGATGGTATCCATCGCTAACTGATGGGTAGGTCACATGGCTACAACTGCTTTGTGTCAGCTTCCCCTTTTGCAGTAACGGTGAAGGATTCTGATGCAGAGGTCTGCCCTGCCCTGCAGGTCAGCCTTTGCCAGTAAGGGAGAAGCTATTACAGTAATAGTGGTTCAGAGAGCTTTACAGCTAAGGTGACTTTCAACCATATGAAGAGTACCCTACAAGGGTCTGTCTTTGTATAAAGGGAGCTATTCTGATTCAAAGTTCACTTGAAGATTAGATGTTTGGCGCATTTTAAAAACTTGTTTCCCAGCCTTTATCTTTCAAATTTGAATTAATGTTTTGCAGCCTCTCAAAGAACTGGAACTTGTGTAAATATATAAATATGTTTAAATATTTAAAACTTAATTCAGACCTAATTAACTAAAATTTTTATTAAATGGTCTTTAAAGTTCAAGACTAAAGTATGTCAGACTCCATTCATCATAGAATCTCATTCATTTTAGGTCTTTTAATAGTTCAGTGAAATATTGTAGGTGGTACTATTAGTACTATACTTACAAATGTGACTTAAGTGCTTTATATGGGTTAAGGAATTCTGTCAAGGAATGATAAAAGTTAAAATTTTGACCTACTTCTCTATTTCACACCATCTCTCTAAAACAAAACCACTCTTTAACCAAGTTGCAAAATCTGTATAATTTGTGTGGATTTTAGCATTATTCTTCCTTTTGTTTAAATGATCCAAAAATTACTTTGCCAGTATATGCATTTATTTAAGTGGACTTCTGAGTTTACTTTTAAGTTAAAATGGAAGTGTCACATTAACTTTTTTGCTAGACTTTATCATTTTATGCACTACTTGCTAGCATTACTGGCACTATCATAGAATACTAGGACTGGAAGGGACCTCAAAGTCATTGAGTCCAGTCACCTGCCCTCATGGCAGGACCAAATACTGTCTAGACCAGGCATGTCCAAAGTCAGGCCCGGGGGCCAATTGCGGCCCGTGTTCCGGTTTAATACGGCCCCACAGGTAATTTGGCAATATCTATCTTTTATGGCCCCCAACGAATCCATATGTATTGAGATGAATACATTGTAAAATCTCAGTTAATGTCAGTTGGTCTAAATCAGTTATAAATATATTTGGACACAACATGTATACTTGGTGTTATGTTCCTGTTCATATTTTTTGAACTTAAAAGTTGACAGACAACCTTTATTACCAATAATATGTAATGTACTTTACAATGTTCCTGACATATATTTCAGCTTCCTGGATTTTTTTTCATCTGGCCTTCAGATATGAAAGGCAGAGTGATTTAACACCTGTTTAGATTTGTCATCCATGTGACGAAATGAAAAGTATGCCGTTTGCAATAAACTTTGCATAAAATAGTTAATTTGCATTTAATTTTAATGGTTCAAAGAATGTCAGGCAAAATGGTCGGCCCTCACGCATATTCACTTCATCAAATAATTTAGGTTAGATAAATGTCTAACTATTCATTCTTGATTCGTGATCTAATTAAATGTTAGCAGTGACTCATATGCTCCCTTTGTAATTAGATGATTAAACTAGCTGTTTACTGTTTGTAAACGCTGTCCCCAGTGGTAGCAAAGTATTTGAAATTATGTATGAACTAACCGACATTTATTTTCATGCTTTTGTATTTTTAAAACTGAGTGGTAGTAATTCAAGAAGGTTTAAGCTGTGGTTAAACTGTACAGTTAAAGAATTCCACCGATTTAGCAAATGAGAAAAAGTATGGTTGTGATGTGTATGTACCATTAAAATGGACTGTGCAGTGCTTCATCTAAAGTGTGTTTACAGTATTTGATAGGTTTAAGTGTGTAATTTAGTATGTGTCAACTAGGTCATTATATGAAAGCTGCTAAGTATGTATTGCAATTTAGTACTCCATGTCTGCCTATAATAAAAAAAAATACTGCAAGGAAAGCATGAAAGTTTAAAGTTTAGTATTATAGTACAGACTTTGCATTATCATAACATGCATTTGTAAATGCATTGGTATAAATAATCCCTCTTTTAAAAGTAAACACATTTGTGAGGGGAAATTGTGAAGTTTACACTTGGTTTCAAATCATTTATACTGTCAGTACTTGAGCGGAAGAAGTGAATAGTGGTGGTGGTTTTTTAAGTAGCGTTATGACAAATTACCCACGCATTCATCACCCAAACTGGTAGCTCTAATGTATGCATTTGGTGAGAAAGTGAAGGATTATGTGATAGGAGTGGCAAACTCTTTATCCCTGTAATACAATTGTTATGGATGCTTTGAAAGGAGTCATTAAAAATATCATAGCTAAAATCACTGGTTAACATTAGTTGCATTTTAAAGCACAGAAGATGCTTAGAACTGTAAAAGTACGGCAAAAGTACGTGCATGGACAAAACCAAAATAGACTGAGTGATATACAATTTTGATGTAACAAGTATACCAAAAAATTGGAAATGAGGCTTCTTCAGCATCTCGATGTGTTGATTGGACACTGTCTCCAATTTAAAGCTCCTATGAAGTTTTTTACAGTTATGAAGAGTATTTTCCTATGCAACTTGTAGGCTGGTGTAAAAAAATTAAGAATGTACAACTCGGGTTCTATAAAATCACTAAGGGTATTTTGGTATTGTTGGGATGGGAGGAAAATGGGAATCAGTAGCATTTTTAAGTAGAGCCCTGTTCAGATACAATTTTTGTATTCATATGCCTACAGACCATTTTTTGTAGATCCAATGTCAGATAAGCAGATCTGCAGTACTTTAAGAGCAGTCATGTCACCTTTCCCTTTTCAATCCAAATTAAAAAAAATGTAGATTTAGATTACAAAATTAGTTTAAAACCTTCTAAGACTGGGGTGTTGTGTTTTGCACCTTAAAACCATACTGTTTATCCAGCTGTTGAAGGAGAAATGGAACCCTGAATTCCTTTCTTGAAAGAAAAGCTTCAAAATAAAACAAAACATTAATTGTTAAATACAGCAATAATTCACTCTAACTTCATGGCAAGTTCTGCATTTAAATCAAAGATTAGGCTTTTTAACTAGACCTTTTATTTGTCTTAAAGTGCATTTATGGAATCAAAATTTTTCCTTATATACACCAGTGTCTTTACAGTGCACAGAATAATGATCCTATACCATTCTAGTTTAACAGTAATCCATTTCCAGAAGTGCATATAATGTTACCACTGAACATCTCCTTACACTGTGTGTGTGTGTGTGTGTATGTATGTTAGAGCTATAGTTTGATTTGAAGCTGTTAACAAAACATGTCTAAAGTGTCTTTTTGGCATTTATTTTCAAAGTGTAAAAATAAAATATTAAAGTGTAGTCTTATAATAGTTCTGTGTTGAATAAAAGTGTATTTATGAATTTTAGAATGTAAATCTTTCATGTAAAAAATTTAGATTTTTCCTGTACAGAAGTAAACCTCAGTTGTGAAACCCAAAGATTAATAAAGCTATAAGGAACAGTTCCTAAAAGTGCATTTGTTACATACTGGAACAGCTGTGATTTTACAACAAAGCTACAGTATGTTCCTATGTTGCTGATAAGATTCTGCTGAAAAGTAAGGAACCTCCAAAAACTACTTAGCACTATATACAGATCATGGGCTTTTGAACCACCCAACTTGTATTGAATTAGTGCAGTGTATTACATGATATAAAAGCAATTTATATATAGTTAAAACTGATAATATACAGTAAAGATTCACTGTGAACACTGGAGGTTTTTTAAAAACCTCAACTTGTGTGTACAGAATTTAAAAAAATTACTATAAACTATTGTAATCAGAGCCAGAACTACATTTGGGGATTCAAATAAGGACTACTAATTGACTGTACTGTGAAGTAGTTTCAATGTGGTAATCACTACTTCCCCTAAATTTTAAAGCATCTGAACCCCTGTTCATGTTTTAATGAGTCTAAATGGGCTTTCCATGAGTTATAGATCAATACTGCTGACCCTGGAACAGCTATGCTGCTTCTAACATCTGTTGTGAAACAGAACCCTGATAATTGTCTTGTTAAGCAAGACAAAAAAGTGGCCATATGTATTTACATGCAGTTGGGTGTATACTAAGAACTCCTCTCCTATTGAAACACATTGGCTGCGTCTAGACTGGCAAGTTTTTCCGCTGTCTACATTGGCTGCTTGAATTTCCGCAAGAACACTGACTTCCTACTGTCTGAACTCAGTGCTTCTTGCAGAAATGCTTTGCTGCTCCCGTTCGGGCAAAAGCCCTCTTGCGCAAATGCTTTTGCGCAAGAGGGCCAGTGTAGACAACGCGGTATTGTTTTGCACAAAAAAGCCCCGATCGTGAAAATGGCAATTGGGGCTTTCTTGCGCAAAACCACATCTAGATTGGCATGGACGCTTTTCCAAAAAAAGTGCTTTTGCGGAAAAGCATCCATGCCAATCTAGATTCTCTTTTCCGTAAATGCTTTTAACGGAAAACTTTTCCATTAAAAGCATTTGCGGAAAATCATGCCAGTCTAGACGTAGCCATTGAGAGAGAGTTACCTTTTTAACATGTTAATTCAAATGTTTAACTGAAGAAGCTTTTGGATTTGATTGGAGAATGCAGTTTAATGTCTGTATTCTGCAAACACCAGGCCAGCAAAACTAGAAAAAACTCTTAATGGGAAGTTTGACAGTTTACATTTTATAAAGG